AAAACCCGGTAATGATGTCGGGGTTGAGGGATAGGAGGAGAATGGGGGATAGGTGTATGAACATGAGGGTGTTTTCTCGTGTGAATGAGGGTTTTATGTTGTTAATGTGGTGGGTGAGTGAGCCCCATTGTGTTGTGGTAAATATGTAGAGGGAGTATAGGGCTGTGACTAGTATGTTGAGTCCTGTAAGTAGGAGAGTGATATTTGATCAGGAGAACGTGGTTACTAGCACAGAGAGTTCTCCCAGTAGGTTAATAGTGGGGGGTAAGGCGAGGTTAGCGAGGCTTGCTAGAAGTCATCAAAAAGCTATTAGTGGGAGTAGAGTTTGAAGTCCTTGAGAGAGGATTATGATGCGACTGTGAGTGCGTTCGTAGTTTGAGTTTGCTAGGCAGAATAGTAATGAGGATGTAAGTCCGTGGGCGATTATGAGAATGACTGCGCCGGTGAAGCTTCAGGGGGTTTGGATGAGAATGGCTGTTACTACGAGGGCTATGTGGCTGATTGAAGAGTATGCAATGAGCGATTTTAGGTCTGTTTGTCGTAGGCAGATGGAGCTTGTTATAATTATGCCTCATAGGGATAGTACAAGGAAGGGGTAGGCTATGTGTTTTGTCAGGGGGTTGAGAATGAGTGTGAGGCGTATTATACCATAGCCGCCTAGTTTTAAGAGTACTGCGGCAAGTACTATTGACCCAGCGATGGGGGCTTCGACATGGGCTTTAGGGAGTCATAAGTGGAGTCCGTAAAGAGGTATCTTTACTATAAAAGCTATTGTGTAAGCTAGTCATATTAAGTTGTTGGCTCAGGAGTTTGATAGTTCTTGGGCAGTGAGAGTGAGTAGTAGAATGTTTAGTGAGCCTAGGGTGTTGTGAGTGTAAATCAGTGCGATGAGTAGGGGAAGGGAGCCTACTAGGGTGTAGAATAGGAAGTATGTGCCTGCGTTCAGGCGTTCTGGCTGGTTGCCTCATCGGGTGATGATAGCCAAGGTGGGGATAAGTGTGGTTTCGAAGAAGATATAAAATATGATTAGTTCTGTGGCTGTGAATGTTATAATTAAGGAGATTTGTAGGGAGATTAGTATAGAGAGGTAGAGTTTTTTTCGTGATAGTGGTTCACTGGATAAGTGGCGTTGGCTTGCCATGATTGTGAGGGGTAGGAGTCAGGTAGTTAGTATTAGGAGGGGGGTTGTTAGGGGGTCGGAGGAAAAGGTTGGGGAACAGCTAAATAGGTTGTTGTTGATTTGGTTAAAAAATAGTAGAGGGATGATGCTAATAATTAGGCTGTGGGTGGTTGTGTTGATTCAAATTATGTGTTTTTTGGAAAGTCATGTCAGTGGTAGTAATATAATTGTTGGGACGATTAGTTTTAGCATTGGAGTAGGTTTAGGTTATGTACGTAGTCTAGGCCATATGTGTTGGAGATTGAGACTAGTAGGGCTAGGCCCACCGCTGCTTCGCAGGCGGCAAAGACTAGTATGGCAATAGGCACAATATTGGCTAAGAGGGAGTGGGTGTTGAGGGTTATGAGAGTAGCTATAATGAACAGCGATAGTATTATTCCTTCTAGGCATAGTAGGGAGGATATGAGGTGTGAGCGATATACTAGTATTCCTAGAAGTGAGATGGTAAATGCTAGTATAATATTTATGTAAATGAGGGGCATTTGGTAAATATGATTATCATAATTTAATGAGTCGAAATCATTCGTTTTGTTTAAACTATATACCAATTCGGCTCAGTCTAATCCTTTTTGTAGTCACTCATAGGCCAGACTTAGGGCTAGGATGATGATTAATAAGAGGGATGACATAACTATTAGTGGCAGGTTAGTTGTTTGTAGGGCTCATGGTAGGGGTAAAAGGAGGGCAATTTCTAGATCAAATAATAAGAAGGTAATAGCTACTAAGAAGAATTTTATGGAGAAAGGGACGCGGGCGGGGGATATAGGGTCGAAGCCGCACTCGTAAGGGGTGGATTTTTCTATGTAGCCGTTGAGTTGTGGTAGTCAAAATGTAATAATTATTAGTAGTAAGGCTAGGAGGGTGTTGATTATTAAAATTAAGGCGAAGTTTATTACTCTTTTTTGAATGTTGTCAAAACTAGTTAATTGGAAGTTAACGGTACTATTTATACTAAAAGAGTAAGACCCTCATCAATAGATGGAGACATACAGAAATAGTCAAACCACATCTACAAAATGCCAGTATCAGGCGGCGGCTTCGAAGCCAAAGTGATGTTTGGATGTAAAGTGAAATATTAGTTGGCGGATGAAGCAGATAGTGAGGAAAGTTGAGCCAATAATGACGTGAAGTCCGTGGAAGCCTGTGGCTACAAAAAATGTTGAGCCGTAGATGCCGTCGGAAATGGTGAAGGGAGACTCGAAGTACTCTGAGGCTTGTAGGAGGGTAAAATAGAGACCCAGTAAAATTGTAATAAGCAGTGCTTGAATTATTTGGTTTCGGTTGTTTTCTATTAGACTATGGTGAGCTCAGGTGATTGATACTCCTGATGCGAGTAATACGGATGTGTTTAGGAGTGGGACTTCTAGGGGATTTAGCGGGGTGATGCCTGTTGGGGGCCAGTGCCCTCCTAATTGGGGGGTAGGGGCTAGGCTGGAGTGGTAAAAGGCTCAGAAAAATCCTGCGAAGAAAAAAACTTCTGAGGTAATAAATAGGATTATCCCGTATCGAAGGCCTTTTTGGACAGGTGGTGTGTGGTGGCCTTGGTATGTGCTTTCTCGTGTTACATCGCGCCATCATTGGTATATGGTTAGTGTGTTGGTTAGTAGGCCTAGTATGAGGAGCGTTATGGAGTGGAAGTGAAATCACATGGCTAGGCCGGAGGTCATTAGGAGGGCTGAGAGGGCCCCTGTTAGGGGTCATGGGCTGGGTTTTACTATATGATAGGCATGTGATTGGTGGGTCATTATGTGTTGTCGTGCAGGTAGAGGCTTACTAGAAGTGTGAAAACGTAGGCTTGGATTAAGGCGACAGCGATTTCTAGGATAGTCAGTAGAATTAGAATTGTGAAGATGATAAGTGTAGAGGGAAGGTTAATGGTTGATATTGCTAGGGTGGCGCTTCCAATTAGGTGCATGAGTAGGTGGCCTGCAGTAATGTTAGCGGTTAGGCGTACGGCCAGGGCTATTGGTTGAATGAGTAGGCTGATGGTTTCGATAATAACTAGTATGGGGATAAGGGGTGTAGGTGTGCCTTGTGGTAAGAAGTGGGCTAGGGCATTTTTAATCTTAGAGCGAAAGCCTATAATCACTGCGCCCGCTCATAAGGGGATGGCCATGGCTAGGTTTATAGATAGTTGGGTGGTTGGTGTAAATGAGTGAGGCAGGAGTCCGAGGAGGTTAGTTGTGGCAATAAAAATGATTAAGGATACTAGTATAAGAGATCAGGTTCGTCCTTTAGTGTTGTGTATGGTTATCATTTGTTTTGAGGTTAGTTTGATTAGTCATTGTTGGGTGGTGATTAGTCGGTTGTTGATGAGATATTTGGAGGTGGGGATCAATAGAGGGGGAAATAGAATGATCAGTACTGCGGCGGGTAGGCC